CAAAACGAACAGTTCTACGAGCAAAGAGTTTAACATAGTCATCCTCATTAGAAAACTGAATCAGAATATGTCTACTATCGAGAGCCTCAATCTTCCAACCATCAGCCAAATTCATGAGTTCAAAATGCTTATGAAGAAAATCAAATTTCGGTAGACCATAGAGAAATTTTCCCACAAGATGAAAACGACAAGCAGAGACCAGAATAGTGTTCTCAGAATCCGAAAGGAAGAGCGCAAATTTACCCCCCTTCTTCCCTTGCTTCTTAATGAAGTTATACTCCCCTCCAAGAACTAAAGATTCATGAAAGGGAAAGCAAACTTTGGAGTAGCACCGGAGGAGGAGCCTCCGACAGTTAATCCGACATAAGACCTTGCCATAGATGGCAAGAACTAAAAAACCAAGGAGCAGAAAATGAGTACGAAGGAGTAGCCAAAGCACGAAAGCAAAAGGAAAGATCTCACCAACATCCGACAGACGAGACAAAAGAAACACCGTCAGCATCCCGAAATTGCCGCCAGTATATATATATATATATATATATATATATATTGGATCCCAACTAACCTATGGGTTCCACTCAGAGATTAGTTACAATCCACCAGAAAAAACTGAAAAACAAGATGGAAAGGGAGAAACAAACAAAAAACTAAAAAACTCCTTGGAGGGGGAATCAATAAGTCCTGGAAGCATTGTAGATAGAAATTTTGAAGTGTGGTATGTCTAGAGTGTCTCCATGAAGCAAAAAAGGATAGAGAAGGTGTGGGGGGGGGGGAGTAGCAATAGAGTAGCAATAGAAGCAGATTTGGAGTGAAGCCCACATCTAGCAAACCAATTTGCAGGTTTATTTCCTTCCCGGTAATTGGAAGTGAAGTGGACACTGAGAATAGATTTGAAGGTCTTGATCTTCTGGATCCATTGGGTGTGGAACCATGTAAACTGCTCCTCATATTCCAGCAGTCTAATCAGCAAGGTGGAGTCCACCTCTACCCAAATATTTAGCCAATATGATTTATAAGCAAAGGTCAGACCCCAGAAAACTGCAATAAGTTCTGCCTCAAATGCATCAGTGGCCATAACAGGAGCATGAAAGAAGAGGAGACACTGACTAGAATGGTTTCTGAAGACTTCCCCCACCCCAGCACCCATATCATTGAAGCTGCCATCAGTGTTAATTTTAACAGTAAAAGGCTGTGGGGGTTTTCAATATACCTTGCTGATCAAAAGAAAAACCACTTCACCAGTAAGAGGGGGGTTACAAATATTAGGGAAGTGTTTATACTTTATCATTTTAGAGAGGTAAGATACACAGTTTCTGACCACCTGAGCAATCTGTGGAGGTTTGACCTCAAATTTGGCATTGTTCCTGGACATCCAGAGGAACCAAGCCACCAGGAAAGGGATGGAATCATATTTTTTATTTTTCCAGCTGAACCAACAGGTAAATAACTGTGACCGGTGAAAAACTGAGTCATTCAATGTAAGCTTCTTTAGAAAATCAGTTTAGACCTCCTGAGCAAATTTGCATTTAAAGAAAATGTGAGGGATGTTTTCCTCCTTCTCCATACACAACCAACATCTAGATGGGCCCCTCAGACCCTTTAACTTAAGGATGTCATCAGTAGGCAATAAATTGTGGAAGAATCTCCAGCAGAAGAAAGACATAGAGGGGGAGAAAAATTTGTTCCAAATGTCTTCCCCCCAAGTCACATGATCCCAGCTAAAGAGCTTAGAATAAATAGCTTTGGTGAGACTTTGATTGGTATAAGCTTGCCAAATGACTCTATCAGGTCTGCTTCCATCAAAGTGAATTTTTGAAATATGGGTGACATAAGGTTCCTAAAAAATATTCTGCTGGTTAGAAATAGACCACTGATCTCCCTCCCAACACTCATCTACTTTGAGATTAAGATTAATATGAGTATTTGTATCATTTAACCACTCCTTAGGACACCAATGATCTAGCCAGAAATTCACCTTACCATTTCCCAATTCCCAAATAAATATCTTCTCAGTAAGATGCCTTACTTTGAGCATGCTGGCCCAAATTCTGGAATCCCCCAGCTTCCTGACTGCTAGAGAGGGGTGTTGATCTCTGCAATTCTTCCCCATCATGAACTTATCCCACAAGGAGGATTGAGCTCTGAATTTTATCCACATTTTACAAAGGTTATTGAGCTCTGAATTTTATCCGACTTGAATAAGTTGCTGCAACCCTTTAAATCCAATACCCCGAGCCAAAGTGGGTTTGGCTACCTTCTGCCATGAAGCCCAGTGAAGTTGCTGTCTTTGACCAGACCACAAGAACCTGTTAAAAGCCCTCTCCAGTTGTAGTTGGGTGTTTTTCTTCATATTGGTCATTTGAAAAATATAAGGGAAGGTTGTGAGAATGCTTTTAAGTATGATGATTCTTCCTCCATTAGAAAGGAAGGAATGAGACCAACCTGAGAGATAAGAAGTGATTTTATGGAGAACTTCATCAAGTTGGATCTGCTTGCATATGCCACTTATCAGGAAAATACCAAGGTATTTGATTGGAGGATGAGCAATGGAGAAACCAGTATAGTTAGAGATCCACTGTTTACAGCTGGGTGAAGATCTTTTATTGAATATAAGTTGGCACTTTGCAGAACTAAAAGTCATCCCAGAATGTGATTGAAAAGCTTGTAGACAGTGGTATACTTATTTCATAACACTCTTATGGGCTCTAGAAAACACCATGATATCATCAGCATATAACAAATGGGAAATAACCATTTTAGATTTGTGATGGTACCTAGAATAACTCTGGGTTAATAGGGACTTATCTAACATTCTGGACAGGTAATCAATGGCAAGGATGACGATAGTAGGGGAGAGTGGGTCTCCTTGTTTCAGCCCTCTAGTAGCAGAAAAGGAACCCCAAGCTTTCCCATTGATAATAATAGAGTGTCTGTTATTAAGAAGCCATTCTTGTATAAGGGTACAAAAAGCAGGCTGAAACCCTCTAGCAGAAAGGATATTCAAGATGAACTCCCAGCTTATGGTGTCATAGGACTTTTTAATGTCCAATTTATAGATCAGATTCCCTCCCCTACATTGCTTATCCAGGTCTAGAAGCATCTCCTGTGCAAGCAAGAAAGCAAGACATTGTCAGTTGCAAGCAAGACATTGTCAGTGATGGATCTCCCCTTGATAAAAGCAGTTTGGCTGGGACTAATCAACTTATACAGGTGAGGTTGGAGCCTGCTCACAATGATCTTACTAATGGTTTTGCTGATAACTGAGGTTAGACAAATAGGCCTATAGTGTTCCCAGCTCTTTTGCATTTCAGATTTAGGCACCAAGACAAAATTAAAATCACTAAAATAGTTGGGGAGGTTATTGCCTTGAAAAAAGTTGTTAATGGCAGCAATCACATCTATTTTAATGATTTGCTAAGACTTCTTATAAAAATATGCAATAAAACCATCTGTAACTGCAGTCTTGGAACTGTTAGTGGAATCTAAAGCCATCCGAATTTCCATTTCAGTGGGGGAGCCAGTAAGTGTTAAGCTTCTAGTAAACTCAAACTCAGCAGTGAAGTAGGTGCCATCCATAGGGGTTCTGTAGTCAGGTAATTCATTCAAAAGCTGGCTATAGTAGCTAATAAAATTACTGGCAATGGTATCGTTATCATGAAGCCAACTCCCCTCATTAGTCTGTATAGAGTGGATAGTATTGCATTCCCTCCTGTATTTGATGTAAGCATGATAGAGTTTAGTGTTTCTATCCTCGTCAGTAAAAATATTTATGGAAGCCTTCTGTTTAAGAAGTTGTTCTTGATTTTCAATGGCAGTAAGAAGATTATTTTGAGCAGTAAGAAGAGTGTTTTCCTCTGCAGTCCCATTTTGAATTGCTTTTTCAAGTCTCTCCACCTCTTGTTCAGTAGAGTTCACTGCAGTGTGCACATTGCCAAAGGTGTCCCATCCCCATTTCCTGAGGGCTTTACCAACTCTGATATGCAGGAAGCTAAGTTTAACTAAAGGCTCTGGGTGGTTAACACCAGTCCAATTATTTGAAACAGTGTTGAGAAAGGAGTGGGATGACCACATATTTAGAAATCTGAAAGGGGTAAGTTCAGCTTGATTAGAATTAGAGGTTATGGAAATAAGTAAAGGCCTGTGGTCAGATCCAGCAATAGTTAGGTGAGTAACGAAAGTAAGGAGGAAATGGATGAACCACTGATCACTCACCAGTGTTCGGTAAAGTCTTTCCCATATATGCCCCCTCTTCCAAGTGAAAGAGGGTCCCTGGAAACCTAGGTCAAATAAGCCAGCCTTCTGGATATTTTCATTGAAAGTAGTCATTTTGGAGATGTTGGGGATTCTGCCCGCAGACTTTTCAACTGAGGAGGCAATACAGTTGAAATCTCCCCCCACCAGCCAAGGGAAGTGCATATGATCACTGATCTGCTAGAGACAAAGCCAAAGATCCTTTCTGTACTTTTTGTGGCAACCTGCATAAATAAACGTTGCATAGCCCAATTGATATATATATAAATGTTGCATAGCCCAATTGATATGTATGTATATGTGTGTGTGTGTGTGTGTGTGTGTGTGTGTGTGTGTGTGATCATATGTATGTTGCTAGATTTACTAGATATTGATCATATGTATGTATGTATGTATGTTACTAGATTTACTAGATATTGATATTTTCTTGGTCTCATTGTTTTTTTTCATGTATGTTCTGAGATTTCTATTCAAGCAAAGAAAACAGTTATCACGGTTTATTTTTCTACCATCCTCACGTAACAAACCAATCAATAAATTTAGAATACCATTGAAGGTCAATGGTATTCTAAATTTATTGATTGGTTTGTTACGTGAGGACGGTATAAGAAAAAAATTGCAGATAATGTTTTGGGATCGATTTATTTATTTATTTTTCTCTAGAAATGTTAAAAAAATGTTGATAAATGTAAACTTTAGGTATTATGGAAATAAGCTTATTAACACATTGTCTATTGTTTGTTTTTTAGGGCTACTGCTGTAGATGCATCGGCTGATTGCGGAATTATTGGAACAAGTGATGGTTTCTTGTATAAATTTGAGCTGTCATCTGGTAGAAAACTTGGAAATCTAAGCTCCATCCAATGTAAGTATGTATATTAACTTTTCAGGTCAATAAATTTCATTTAAAGTTAATACTTCTCAATAGAGGGTATCATATACCCCAATGTTTTTAACGTGTTAGAGGTGTAATGTTCATATAATGATCAATATATTTTTTCTGAAAACTAGTCATATGCTTAATTGGAGGAGCAATCTATGAATTTCAAACAAATGTATTATTAATGATAAAAACTATTAAAATCCGAATATATTTTTTTCTGAAAACTAATCATATGCTTTATTGGAGGAGCAATCTATGAATTTCAAACAAATATGTATTATTAATGATAAAAATTATTAAAATCCGAATTTAGGGAAAAGATGATGGCCTTCTTAATAAAAAAAAATTGTGCGAAATTAATGATTAGGAAAACAAGCAAGCAATTGAGATTGTGTATTGAGTAGACAGAAAGAAAAGAGAAAGAAAAAGTGGGGGAAAAAATTAGACAAGGTTCACACTTAAACAAGCTCTTTTTTACTTCTTGAAGCACCGAATAGTTAAAATTCTGCACAAGTAGAATGATTTCCACATCTAAATGAAACATTTTGATAAAAAAAGTTCAAAATAGTCCATGAATTATTTGTGGAAAGCTATGTCAGTCCCAACTATTGAAAATGCCCAATTTAGTCCCTTAAGTTTTGAAATTGATCCAAATTGGTTCAATTGTTAGAATTGCTATGTAAATAGATGATAAATTCACATTTTGAAATTAAAGAAAATGATACAATTAAATAACAACAAGCTAGCCAAAACAGTAAATACTCATACTTCTAAACTGTAGTAACGTAAAGAAAAAAAATTGGTATGCATGCTAGTCAAATATAATATAAATCAATATAAAAGTAGACTAATTATTTTTCATATACGATTTTACTTTAAATCATTAAAAGTTGTGATCATTTTAAATATCTCATCTCTATTATTTAAAGTGATTGTGATATAGACGGGAATGTTATTAGTATAATTCAAGTTGTTTGGTTAAAGTGCAGGAATGCATCAGACTTATTGTGTGATAGAAAAGTACCGGTGGTGAGATCTGCAATGCTTTATGAAATAGAATGTTCATCTTTAAATGAGAGCATAAAACAACGTTGTGTGCTACTGAGATGAGAATGTTTAGGTGGATGAGTGTCTAGAGACTTATGAGTGTCTTGAAACTTATTGACCAAATGCTAAACGAATGTACTCGTGAAAGGGTTGGTGTAGCTCCAGTGACAAACATGATTAGAGAGTCGTTTTAGATGGCTTAGTCGCATTAAATATCGACCATCTGATGATCCGGTTAGGTGAGTAGATGTTTTAGATTTGACTTGTGTTAAAAAAGGCAAAGGTAAACCTAAAATACATGGGTAAAAATGATCATAATTTATTAAAATTAAATGAAAATATGACACTCAGTAGAACGCAAAGGAGAAAAAGGATTCATGTTGTTGACCCTATTTAGTGAGATAAAGGCTTGTTATTGTTTTATATATGATTTTTCATGATATTTCATAACATTCAATGCGTTTTATCATATTAGTAACATATCCGTATCATTTTATATATGTATAATCGTCACAGGAGCACCATCTAATATTGTGCCAATTAAGACATATCAATATCAATAATCTTTTTCATTTATGTGCACAAGTACGCTAGTGTTCTTCAGCTAGTACCATAAATGGGTGAATTCCATCATAAGCCAATAATGCACATGCAAGCATATTATGAAAATCCTATTTAATAAAGATTATTTCATTCTCATTTGTATAACATTCAATATCTATGATAATTTGAGTACGCATATCTTTTCTACAAAATGAACAAAAATTCAATAAAATAATAAATCATGGGTTTACAGTGATTTCAATATAACTAGTAATAGTAACAGTAAAATATATTTGGTCAAGATGAAAGAAAAAATATTACCATAGCATAAGAACATAAGTACTCTCCTCAATATCATATGACTTGCTTTTAGATTATAAATTTTCTTTAATTTCATCTTCATTAATTTGATATCTATAAAAATACTCACAAGAATTAATTAAATATTTAAGTGATAATTTTATACTTTTCTCAATGCTTAGTATTTTGATTTAATATATACTAATCCATTCAAATTTTAACATCCTAATTTCTTTTATTTTCTTAATTAAAATTTAAATTTTCATAATAATATCTTGTCAACATTTCATATAAGAAAGTATTAATAAAATAAGGGATCTAACCTTATTAATATGCTCAAACCCAATTTCAATGCATAGGAGTTCTATGTCGTGGCCTTCGTGACACTGCTTGCTTAGCTCCAAATTTGTACGAGACCTTGTTGGCTCCACCTGATAGTGCTTCCGATTACTGTGTTCTGAAGTTTTCCTTTCCCTGGATATAGATTTGTAATTTTGTTCAGGGGGACAACCTAGCTTAGCCTATTGTCATATTGCATGACCTATTTGAGTTTGGCATACAATATTCCAAGGACCTATTAGAAGAATATCCCAAGGCATTCATTTAGATTGAATACATTTCTCCTGCTATTCCTAGCTTGAGTGAGAATATACTTATGGCAAACTTTCTAGTTACACGACTATGCACATTTGTTCTCCTTATTAAAGAGTCACTATTATGTGTAATGCTTTTTTGGCGGCGAGTCTCATTTCCCGACACAAATATAGGTGAAACTCACACTTCATACTATTTTGAAGTCTTGTACTTTGTCTAGTAGATTCTTAGAAGGAGAAGATTGTTTTTTGTAATCCAAAAATGCTTTTAATTAATCATGGAACTGTTTTTACATGACCTAGAATTTTGTATATAGGATAAACTAGACTATTACTAAACTTATGAATGAATCTTTTTTTTTCATTATCTGAATTGATATAAATTTTACTTGATTGTTGTTTTACAAAATATAACTTTAAATTGTCATGATATTCTCTTATTGCTTTCCTTGAAGCTAACACCAAATAGTTAGGACATGGCTAATGTTGTCGGTGATGATGAACACAAACTACATCACCTATTGGAATAACAAGAACCTCACAAGTGCATAATTTGTCTCATAAATTGTAATTGCAACTACCAACCTATGAAGTGCCCTTAAGGAGCAGTCTTAAAAATTAAAATAATCCAAATTGGTTGGAATGTCACCATGTACATAGCAAGAATCCCACATGAACAAGAGAGCCATATTATGTGGGGCTGATAGTTGTGTCTCAAACTCATAACTCATATAATAATTGCTTTTAATTGAATGGAAATTGAAATTAACATTTATTCAATTTGACTTGAAGTCAAAATTTGCTTGATATGACACGTTATCTCAAAAATTTACTCAAAGTAGATCACATTTGAATTGACTCAAAATGAAATTAAAATCTACGATTTCCAGTTTGCAATTTACTTTGGACTGCTTGAACTTTGGCTTGCTATCAACCTATGTAGTCATAGGCTTAGCATCATAGAAAAGGAAATATGTCCACTAATTAAATTAGTTAAAGTAGAAAGTTGTATATCTAAAGTCATGGGTTTGAGTCACATATTTTGTAATTTTTTGCTCATCGTTAAAAGAAAAAGAAATCAATCCATCAATACATCGCTTATCTTTTTCGGATAGTACACTCAATTATAAGCATGTTTAGTTTAACATAAAGTATTTTTGAAAGTTTTAGTAATCTTACTAGAAAATGTTGGCCAGTTACTTTGTCACACCCCCGGGTTTGGAAGACGGTACACCCTAACAATATAAGACATGATTAAATGAATTAAACCTATTTTGTATTCTCAAAAGGATGATTTATGCAAATAACAATAAGAATAAAATAAAAAATATAGATTTTCTTCCATAATTAATAGTCTAGAGATACAACTGAAAGAAAACCAGAAAATTGATTGAATTGAAACTGAAATGACAATAGAGAATGACTGTCGGGACCCAAAATGGAAATTTAATAACTAAAACAAATATGAAAAAATACCAATAATAGAAAATCTAAAACTGAAAAGTTTGCTCGGGTGTGAATGATCCTGCTAATGGCTAAATAGAATATGTTATGCAAAAATATCAACGAGTAAGTTTGCCAGACAAACTCTATAAATAACAATTATTTATTAAAACATAAACAATTAAAAAAATGGGACATGCAGTATGAACAAGAAAAATGGACAACTACTATGTATATATAGCATCTTAGGACGATAATAGTGGTAAAAAAAGAAGGCGCAATTATCTTGAGAAAAGATGCAATCATTTCAGATCAGGTTTTACCAGTGCATAACTTAATAGTTATTTTTTATTCAGCTTTGGTTTTAATTTACATTTATATAGTCCATTTTAATAGACATCCCAAAACTCTGTAAATAACAATTATTTTTTAAAACTTAAGCAGTAAGGAAAACGGGGCATGTAGTATGAACAATAAATATGGATAACTATTATGTGCAAATATAACATCTTAGGACAAAAAGAGTGTGGTAAAAAAAAATATGAGTAATTATCTTGAAAAAAAGTGCAATCATTTCGAATCAGGTTTTGCCAGCACATAACTTAATAGTTATTTTTTATTGAGCTTCAATTTACATTTATATTTATATAGTCGGTTTTAATAGATAATCTAAAAATTTGGAAGGTCAATACTAACAAAAAAAAAAAAAAAAACTTAACGATTTTCTGTAGAGTTGTCATTTTGTTGGCCTGACTAGCCAATATTCAAAAAAGTTCCATTGATCTACACATAAATATAATATACTTTTCAAAAATATAAATGTAAGAAATATGCTAATTCACACAGGCTTGTGACATGACTTGAATTTACATGCAATTCTATAAAAATAAATTGCAGGAAAAAAATATTATAATTGCAATGTTCATTTACATATGCGGGGGTTTTGCAACAATAGAGTAAGATAGTGATTCCATCATGAATAATAATTGAAGCATATAACAAATGCAATACAATTAATATAATTGAAGTGACAAGGCATGACTGACAATCTTATAT